ACCAGACTAGTATCACTGTTTGAAATTCTTAAAAAAAAAGAACTCAACTTAAAGAAAAAAACATAAAGACCTTAAGGAAAGTATTAAGAAAGAAAGAAAAACGGAAATTAATAGACTAAAACAAACAAAAGAAACCCAGCAGTAGAATAAAGTGATTATTTGTATTTTAGAAAAATGAATTTCAGTGACTGCTTAAATCAAAGTGTTTTTCTTTTTAGAAGTTGCCTCATTTACAGGTAAACTAAAATGCAATCTAACATGAAATGAATACTGGCAAAAACTAACACATTCTTCAAATTGATTAATACTTATTAATAAAAACTACTATCATTTGATTGTATATTATTCAGTAGAAACTGGATAAGGGCTTTGCATGCATTATTTATTTAATCCTAATGACAGCCATAGGAGGTAGATATTATCATTGTCCCCAATTTTCAAATGAAACTTAGGTTGAAAGGGCAAATAACCTGTTTGCCCAGGGTCAATATTCCAACCTGAGCAATCTAACTCTAGAGTTTACACTCAAGCTATACTTGCTATGCTTCCTTTAGGACATTATTCTCTCAAGTAACTCTTCCATTTACTTAATTTTACACAGGCCAAACTTCACAAAAATTGTCTTAAAAATATCTAAGTATTAAATGCACAATGTTAAGTGCACAATAAGAATCTAATAAGTTACAGAGGAAACTACATTTCAGGACTCGAAGTCATTAACAATCTAACAAGTTAGGCAGTTTAGCAATAGGATTATATCTTCGGGTGCTGAAATATGCAAGAGCATTTTAATTACTACTAAATACATCAGAAGAAAGCAACTGAAGGAAATTACTCAAATCCTGCAACTTCTTTTAGTTGCCAAGTAACTACTAATTTAAATCTTTCAGGTGATTCCTTCTAGGAAATGATATATTTTACAAATACTTTATACTCAAGAGTACTTACCTGATACTTCTGAAATTCTTGGTTCAGGCTCATCCATCTGTAGAAGCTCATCAAGAGCTAATTTTGCTGCATTGGATCTAGACTCCTTTTTATTTTGTCCCAATCCAGTCTTATATTGAATACCATCCACCACAGCACAGAAAGCAAAATACGATCCCATAATATTACCTTGAAAAAGAACTCAGAATAAATTGTACAGTAATTCACAGTATATTATTACAAACAGTGTCAGTATATAGGAAAACATCCCAGTACAAAACTTCTAGAAAACTCTTTACCCTAGAAATACCACCTCTAGGGCTTCCAGTCAAGATGGCAGAATAGATGGTCACCAGTGTCACTCTCTCCCACAGACCAAACAATTTACAACTATTAAAAAGCAAGGACAGCCAATCTGGGGCCGCTAGAGCTCAGGGGAAGAGGAGGAGAGACCTACATAGTGCATGAAGGCAGGAGAAGCCACATTGAGAGAAAGAAAGAACCACTTCTCTCCAACCATTTCAAGTCCCAGCTGCTTCAAGGCTGGAGGTGCTGAGCACATGGAGCAGGAACTGGCAAAAGCCACAGCTGTGCCCTTCGGATGAAGTTGCTTGGAGGCAGCAGGGGAGAAGAGGGCCTTGGTGGCCCCCAGGCCAGCAAGACCACTAATAGGGTTCCAGTGAATACACATAGGAATGACATAACAACTGAAAAAAAGGAGCCATTCTGAGGCTGGTGAGTCATTGCAAGGGACTGCAGCACAACCTGCCCCATGGGAAGCATTTGGAATGCAGGTGGTGGGGAACACAGGCCCACTGGGGGAATACTGAGGCATAGCAAGGACAGTTGATCTGCCCTCCAATCTGTGCAGGACTACTCAGTGGAGACTGGTAGGAATATAGAACTACAGGGGGTGCAGTTTGATTAAAAGATTCAGGCCCAGACCAGAGTTTTTACATAACCCAGGTGTACCAGATCTCATGAGAGCCAGAAGTACCTATAAAGTCAACGAGTAAAACCTGAGCTGCATAAAAAACGTTCCCCAGGGAATCAGCAGCAAAGCAACAATTTAGCTCAACCACAGAGCTCAAGTGCTGGTCCTCATAAGAACCTCCCCCATTTTAGAAGCAGAGGACAACAAATTAGTTCCAGTGCAGAGTTTTAAGTGGTAGGAATAGCAAAGAATCCAACACAGAACTGGAAGAAAAAACAAAATACCCACAGACCAGAGATAAAGTTTGACATTAACTAGTAAAGGTCTCACATCACCGAAGAACACCTATAAAACCTAGAAGGACCGGAAATCCCCTGGGCTACCAAGCCAGGGATGGGGGAGGCCTGGGGGGCCTCAGCCATGCCCCCTGACACCCACAACCAGCCCAGCTATGATCACCCAGCCACCACAGGAAGCCCCCTGATCTCCCCTGCAGGAATGAGGGGGGTGCTACAGACCTCAACTCCACCCCTCCTCCTCCTCCCATTCTATTTCCTTCCCCCTTCCCTTTTCTCCCTCCCCCCAACTGCTCCACAACATCACAGAATGTAAAAAATTAATAAATAAACAAAAAAACAGAAATACCAACTCTATAAGTCATTTTGTATGGCTAAGTGGTTAAAACTGAAGGTGGATGGGCCCCTGAACTAGTTCTGAGGATTTAAGTAGCTAGGCTGACTCCAGATTCAGTATAAGCAGTAGGGCCAGCTTTAGAGTACAGATCATACATGGGGTGACACTCACTGTCTAGTACAATGTCTGGCAATGGTAAGCACTCAAATATCTATCAGATAACCAACGAGAAGTAAAATAATGGAGACTTATGTTAACATCTCTTTTCTTAAAAACTTTAATACAAAGTTGAATTTCTCCCACCCTTGGCTTGCCCTATTATTCTTATAAACTCCAGAATATAAAAGATCTCTTTAAAGAAACCCTGTGTACTCACGAGGGCATATGGTAAGCAACTCAACCCATTATAGCTTAGGGCAGGTGGAGGGTGGGGAATAAACCCACAAGGAAAACCAAAACATATATAAAAATAAAAAATGATATCCTACAGAATTAAACTGAATGTCCAAACATACAAAATTCCTAAAATTATTATTTCTACATAATTAGTTTTACTCAGCTTTCATACTTACCTGATGAAAAAGGAAATGGAATCATCTCCTAAATTTAAAGGTAAAAGATTTTTGTTTCAAGTTTTACTCACTGGTATTCGGACTTTAGAATTCTAAGTCTTCACTCTTTGGTTATGGATGGCTAGGTACTATGTCACTGCACATAAATCTCATTGTCTTATTTCCTCACATATTCACAATCACATTACATTAACTGTTATTTAAAGATATACATCAAAGTTTTACGAGCAATTCCTGACTACATCTGGGTAAACTGCTCCTCCACCCCCCATCCAAGATCTGTTTTTCAAGTCCCTTCTTTTATGATCACCTCGGTCCAATTCAAGTTTACTAAACCAGAGAGCATTTTGTATATTTAACAAGTGACCCACATGATTCTTATGTATGAGATATTACACATCAAATGTGTTAACAAGTCTTCTGTGTCAGAATAAGCATTTAAGCTTCAGCCTGTCTAAAACCCAGGTTTTCAAACTTTAGAATGGATTTAAATCACATGTTGAGCTTGCTAAGAAATACTGACACTCTGATCTCACTACCGAATCTATTGAATCAGATTATTCAACTACACTTTGAACATAAAATGAACAACATTAACAGTGGGTCATATTTTTCAGTAGTTTTTGTTCAAAGCAGTAAAGACTGCCCCAATCCATTTTTTTCCTTACACTGACCAACAGCTTATATTTTCCAAGGGTAGTCTCAGAATAGTAGAGAAAAACTAACTAGTTAAACAAAGATTAAGCTCACCTTTTATTTTAAGAAGACATCACCCTCTACATTAAGACCCTACTTTTGTCACCTTTTAACTGGTATCATCTGAAACAACCCAGACTGAAATCTGATGTCACTGTGACAATCTTTACTAAAATATCAATAGCTTTAAATTCTTTTGCAAAAATGCTAGCTTTAAGATTCATACTGGCAAAAANCAGCCCAGCTATGATCACCCAGCCACCACAGGAAGCCCCCTGATCTCCCCTGCAGGAATGAGAGGGGTGCTACAGACCTCAACTCCACCCCTCCTCCTCCTCCCATTCTATTTCCATTCTATTCTATATCAATAGCTTTAAATTCTTTTGCAAAAATGCTAGCTTTAAGATTCATACTGGCAAAAATTAGTATCAGGAAAATTTAAGATTCATATGCATGTGCAAACATACACACAAACCCATATGTACATATAAACATACACAAAGACTTTTTTAAGATTGTGTTTTGACTCTCATACATCTGTCAATGCCTCTCAAGAGCAGTTATTCTCTTGTTCCTCCACTTTCCTAAAGTTCATTCTAATCACCGACCATAACATGAAGAAATCAGAAGCTGCTTTCTGATCTGTATTCCTGTAGCCTTCCACAGGCACAACACAGTTAACAGATTCTTCGGGGGCGGGGGGGTGTTTAAGAGAGAATGCCGAAAACTGTGACAGCCTAGTCTGCAGATACAGTACCAATCATGTAACTGCTCTTTTCACATCTAATCCTTGAATTTCAGAAGCCAAATTTGACCATAATTTTTCTTAGGCATCCTCATCACCAGATCCTTCTCATAGGATAAACATAGTCCAAATATTTAACATCTTGACAAAATCATGTTTATTCTACAAGAAGTATTTATACCACCAAAATCATTCATGAAGCTGATTTCAGTTTGGCTAGCCAAAGAAAAAAAGTTACAATTCAGTTACTATAAATTTTTTATATGCAAGTGATTAGCAGAGGCTCAAAAGGCTAAAGAAGTGTGAACATAATTTCATAAGTATATTTGTCAAAATATACTAGTTATCTAACCCTAATATTATGTGAAATAACCAAATTTAGCACCATTTATATGCTCAGCTTTTAATGGGAAAATATTTTCCAGTACTGTAATTACCAAGCACAACTCTGCACTTGCCTGTTATTACAGTCTCCTTAAGGTCAAGCTGAACCCGTTGCATTTGTGCAAACTGGTGCAAGGCTGACACAGGATTTATCTCTCCACGTTTGTATTTCATTATAAATTCCTTAGGTATTTTTTTTGGAGGAAGAACGGGATTTGAAATAGCTGAAAGACCTTTGGAAAACAATGGTTCTGGAAAATTACCTAAAAATAAATGTTTACACTTGTCAATTTGATAAAAACAAACAAACAAAAGCACTAAATCCTCCCCCAAAATGGAAGATTGTCCCAGATACACTTACTCATATGTGAACAATTTTGACCTGGGTGACAAGCACAACCTGTTATTGTGTAATACTAAGGTTATATTGCAAAAAAGTGGGGCCGGCCCGTGGCTCACTCGGGAGAGTGCGGTGCTGATATTGCAAAAAAGTGATATCATTACATCATTATTAACTAATATCAAAGAATCTTGGAATTTTAGTGATGTCAAGGTCATCAGAGGCTCTCTAAGCCATTTTTACAGATGACATCACTAAGGCCTAGAAAGAAGAAAGGCACAGATCCGGAACTAGAACGTAGTTTCTGGCTCCCATCAACTATATTATACTGGCTTTCACACTGAATTCAATCAAATTTTAAAGTATGTATGGCCCTGCTTTACACTTAACTCTATGCTAAGTCATACGTGGAATACAAACCAGTATAAATCCAGTCTCTTCCCTGAAGCTTCACCTCAAAAAGGCAAGATATTTGAAGTGGTTGAACAGTCAAGATGGTAACGAATAGTTAAGTGAACAGCACAGGGAAGGNATTTGAAGTGGTTGAACAGTCAAGATGGTAACGAATAGTTAAGTGAACAGCACAGGGAAGGAGTTCCTCAGGCCTCCTAAAATGTTGGGAGTCAGATCGCAGCTCCAGGTGGGGCACGGCCATGGTAAATGCATACTGTACGTATCCAGAAAACATTTAATCCTCAACAGTACTGGCCATCCCAGAATCTTAAAGAACTGAGGCATTATTACAAATGAAAAAGAAGTCATACCCGTCACTTGCGTAACCTTAGATGCCACACTCGACAGACTATGACTTTCCGAGGAATATCTTGTAGGTGTAGTTACCGTCTGGGCTGATGGTTGAACCGGCAAGTTCTTTTTCACCATTTGAGCAAAACTAGGGACCCGGGAACTCTGAAACCAGTCACTCCTGCCAGACATTTTCTTACCTACCAACCATGATAAAATTCGAGGAAAACAAAAATCAAAATACGAAGTAAACTAAAAATACTATTAAAAACACAAAACCACCGTATTTCCACAAATGGCTTTTACACACACATTCACTTGACTAGAGCCAAATCCCTCTTTAACTTATCTCATGTCTGCGTTATAGTTTTAACAGGCACGGAACTCTTCTCTCGACTCCCTCCCCTAAGCTCTGCTACACGGAGGAAAGACATGACAGCGGTCCGTAAATCTACTCGGGGTTCAGGGGAGACCAGCCAGATCGGGAAACAGGCAGAGGCAGAGAAGAGGAATAAAACCACCAGCCCATCAGCGGACTGCTGAGTCCCGACCCAACTCCCACCCACCGAGGTCGTCCTTCCCGCCCTCTGGGCTGGACCCCGCAGGCGAAGTGGCGGGTCGCCAGCTCCAGGCCGAGCCGCAGGCCCGGGGCT